GGTGAAATCGGACCCAGGAATCTATCACGACTTGTATAATAGATAGAGAGCATGATTCTAGCCATACAATGTGGACACTGGTTCCAGGAATCCTGTTGTCATGGCAATTAGGCAATGTCACTTCAGGGAAATTACTTTTTCCTAATGCCTACAAATCCTATTTTAATTGGTTGGTCTATGTGGATTTAATGACCCTGGTACTTCCATTCTACTTAAACTGGAAATTGCTTCTGGATTAACTGAAAATAATATTTGATTCCCATATCATCCAGTATTGTGTCGTTATGAAAGAATCAAACAAAACTGTTTCAATAAATAAGAACCAACAAAAGCATCTCTCTCCATGTGAAACAGGATACAGTGATGAGAATGGATATTTTCCTTTTCAGCTGAAACTTATTTGCAATGGAGCATGGTCCATAAATTGGGGGTGTTTATGGGGAAGCCATCAGATTTTAACACATTTGTGGTCACTAAAATTTGTGGAAATTCCTGAATTCACGGAAGATTCTCACCCTTCTGTTATCAGGACAACTATTCAAATCTACTTATGACTTGGACATCTAAAAATTCAGTCTTGATTTTGAGATTGTATCAATCGAAAACTATAAAGAAGAATCCAATGAAAATAAATGTGAGTCGGAGTTACAAAATCCCTATGGAAAAACAACTTTCATTCAAATCCTACGTCTGAGATCCTGTGCTGTAACTCATATCCCAGTGGGACAAAGGTACCCTGATGACAATACTAAATAATTCATCCATCCATTTAATTATTGTCAAATAATCATATTTTTGGCCTCCATCCACTGTATTTGATAACCATGATCTTTGCACAATTCTCGTTTTATGGGAATTAAGACTGCAATATTCTAGATGGGGCAGCTGAGAGGGAATTAAGCACCAATACAGACTGCACAGCATCAAACTACATCTTCCCCATCAGGAGACTGATGTAAACCACAAGCGCAAGATTGTCAGGGCGTGACATCCTTCATTTCAATCTCTTCTTATGGCTATTGTTGCAGCTATGCCGAGTCTGGTCTATGCGTCCATCACACACGATTACCAAAGTTGTCAATAACTGTATTCACAACCCCAAAACGGGGAACACTCACATCATAACTCTTCCCACGAGGCAACAGAATATCTTCAATTTGGAATTGCTCGTAAACCTGTCTGCCTTCTGAGAGACATATTTCATCAGAACATCAAGTTTGCGTTCCAGTGTGGAAAAAGCTTAGCTGTTGTTAAACTTTGTGCCAAAAAAGCAATTGTTTTCACAAAACAGATGATACTTGAGACGCAGTTGAGCCCTGGTTGAAATCAAATTGGTCTTCAGTGGAAACTGCGCATCATGTAGCCATTGGGTAGATACACTTTCATTTATGAGATTTATCTCGTGCAGTTTTTCCTACAATTAATGTCCTGGAAGACAATTCTCATACTCATGTTCGAATTTCATAATGTCAAAAGGATTTCCCCCCAGTAACAATAACACATGACTTCAAGGTGAGGTCTCATTGCCTCTTCAGCTTTCAGGGCTACAACTTTGGACAACTGGGTTACATGGGAGTGAGATTGTATGATGCTGAGATTGTATGATGGTGAGATTGTATGATGGTGCTGACTGGGTTACATGTGTGTGAGATTGTATGATGGTGAGATTGTATGATGGTGAGATTGTATGATGGTGCTGACTGGGTTACATGTGTGTGAGATTGTATGATGGTGCTGACTGGGTTACATGGGAGTGAGATTGTATGATGGTGCTGACTGGGTTACATAGAGTGAGATTGTATGATGGTGCTGACTGGGTTACATGTGTGTTAGATTGTATGATGGTGCTGACTGGGTTACATGTGAGTGAGATTGTATGATGGTGCTGACTGGGTTACATTTGTGTGAGATTGTATGATGGTGCTGACTGGGTTACATGTAAGTGAGATTGTATGATGGTGCTGACTGGGTTACATGTGTGTGAGATTGTATGATGGTGCTGACTGGGTTACATGGGAGTGAGATTGTATGATGGTGCTGACTGGGTTACATGTGTGTGAGATTGTATGATGGTGTGTGCTGGGTTACATGGAGTGAGATTGTATGATGGTGCTGACTGGGTTACATGTGAGTGAGATTGAATGATGGTGCTGACTGGGTTACATGTAAGTGAGATTGTATGATGGTGCTGACTGGGTTACATGTGAGTGAGATTGTATGATGGTGCTGACTGGGTTACATGTAAGTGAGATTGTATGATGGTGAGATTGTATGATGGTGAGATTGTATGTTGGTGCTGACTGGGTTACATGTAAGTGAGATTGTATGATGGTGAGATTGTATGATGGTGAGATTGTATGATGGTGAGATTGTATGATGGTGCTGACTGGGTTACATGGGAGTGAGATTGTATGATGGTGCTGACTGGGTTACATGTAAGTGAGATTGTATGATGGTGAGATTGTATGATGGTGCTGACTGGGTTACATGTGTGTTAGATTGTATGATGGTGCTGACTGGGTTACATGTGTGTTAGATTGTATGATGGTGCTGACTGGGTTACATGTGAGTGAGATTGTATGATGGTGCTGACTGGGTTACATGGGAGTGAGATTGTATGATGGTGCTGACTGGGTTACATGTGTGAGATTGTATGATGGTGCTGACTGGGTTACATGGGAGTGAGATTGTATGATGGTGCTGACTAGGTTACATGTGAGTGAGATTGTATGATGGTGCTGACTGGGTTACATGGGAGTGAGATTGTATGATGGTGCTGACTGGGTTACATGTGTGAGATTGTATGATGGTGCTGACTGGGTTACATGGAGTGAGATTGTATGATGGTGTGTGCTGGGTTACATGGAGTGAGATTGTATGATGGTGCTGACTGGGTTACATGGGAGTGAGATTGTATGATGGTGCTGACTGGGTTACATGTGTGAGATTGTATGATGGTGCTGACTGGGTTACATGTGAGTGAGATTGTATGATGGTGCTGACTGGGTTACATGGGAGTGAGATTGTATGATGGTGCTGACTGGGTTACATGTGTGAGATTGTATGATGGTGCTGACTGGGTTACATGGAGTGAGATTGTATGATGGTGCTGACTGGGTTACATGGAGTGAGATTGTATGATGGTGCTGACTGGGTTACATGTGTGTGAGATTGTATGATGGTGCTGACTGGGTTACATGTGAGTGAGATTGTATGATGGTGCTGACTGGGTTACATGGGAGTGAGATTGTATGATGGTGCTGACTGGGTTACATGTGTGAGATTGTATGATGGTGCTGACTGGGTTACATGGAGTGAGATTGTATGATGGTGCTGACTGGGTTACATGTGTGTGAGATTGTATGATGGTGTGTGCTGGGTTACATGGAGTGAGATTGTATGATGGTGCTGACTGGGTTACATGGAGTGTGATTGTATGATGGTGCTGACTGGGTTACATGGAGTGAGATTGTATGATGGTGCTGACTGGGTTACATGTGTGTGAGATTGTATGATGGTGCTGACTGGGTTACATGTAAGTGAGATTGTATGATGGTGCTGACTGGGTTACATGTGAGTGAGATTGTATGATGGTGCTGACTGGGTTACATGTATGTGAGATTGTATGATGGTGCTGACTGGGTTACATGGAGTGAGATTGTATGATGGTGCTGACTGGGTTACATGGAGTGAGATTGTATGATGGTGCTGACTGGGTTACATGGAGTGAGATTGTATGATGGTGCTGACTGGGTTACATGGAGTGTGATTGTATGATGGTGCTGACTGGGTTACATGGAGTGAGATTGTATGATGGTGCTGACTGGGTTACATGTGAGTGAGATTGTATGATGGTGCTGACTGGGTTACATGTAAGTGAGATTGTATGATGGTGCTGACTGGGTTACATGTGAGTGAGATTGTATGATGGTGCTGACTGGGTTACATGTGTGTGAGATTGTATGATGGTGCTGACTGGGTTACATGTGTGTGAGATTGTATGATGGTGCTGACTGGGTTACACGGAGTGAGATTGTATGATGGTGCTGACTGGGTTACATGGTGTTAGATTGTATGATGGTGCTGACTGGGTTACATGGAGTGAGATTGTATGATGGTGCTGACTGGGTTACATGGAGTGAGATTGTATGATGGTGCTGACTGGGTTACATGTGAGTGAGATTGTATGATGGTGCTGACTGGGTTACATGGAGTGAGATTGTATGATGGTGCTGACTGGGTTACATGGAGTGAGATTGTATGATGGTGCTGACTGGGTTACATGTAAGTGAGATTGTATGATGGTGCTGACTGGGTTACATGGATTGAGATTGTATGATGGTGCTGACTGGGTTACATGGAGTGAGATTGTATGATGGTGCTGACTGGGTTACATGTGTGTGAGATTGTATGATGGTGCTGACTGGGTTACATGGTGTGAGATTGTATGATGGTGCTGACTGGGTTACATGTGTGTGAGATTGTATGATGGTGCTGACTGGGTTACATGTAAGTGAGATTGTATGATGGTGAGATTGTATGATGGTGAGATTGTATGATGGTGCTGACTGGGTTACATGTGTGTGAGATTGTATGATGGTGCTGACTGGGTTACATGGATTGAGATTGTATGATGGTGCTGACTGGGTTACATGGAGTGAGATTGTATGATGGTGCTGACTGGGTTACATGGGAGTGAGATTGTATGATTCATATTCATCTTTATCATAGCTTCTTTCCTGTCAAAAGTTGTTTTTTTTCCTCAACAGCTATTATTGTATACATAACAAGTGGACGCTCAGTGACTTTTCAAAGTGTAGGTTGTGACATGCTGAGTAAGTGACGTCACACACATTATGTCAAGACGTCTAGGCCCAGGCTGGCTAGGCAGCCTGTATTGATATACAAAAATCAATTGACAATCTTATTGCCAATTAGTCACATTTGACAATGAAAAAAGAACATAATAGCTACATCTCTGATTAAACAAATTTACGTACCTGGAGCATGGCTGAACTCAAGGTTGAAGATTTTGGTCAGCGCGGCTTGTGCTGCACGAGCCTTTGCCAGTTTCTTGTTTCGACCTGATCCTTGAAATGTTTCATTGTCTACAGTCACTGACATCACAAAACACTTGGAGTGACTCTCACCCGTCTCCGATACAAAGTCATACTTCAGACCTGGCCTGAGTTCATTGAGAATCATCACAGGATTCTTTCCAGTAGGTTGAGAAGGAACAGCTGTCTTCCGTCCCGGAGGGTGACTGGAGCCGTTCTGAACAGCAGCAGGGGCTGCCTCCGTGGTCTCCATCATTTTGCCCTTCTCACCTTCAAAGTTGTTAAACAAATTGACATCAATGTCCGCACTGTCTGACGTGAAGTCCGCATTGAGGATCTGTCTCCCCATGGCTTGATGTGCCTCAGAAGCATTAGGAAACTGGACAAATGATCCCAAAGCTTTCTCAGCTGCCAACAGTTTGGCCTTTTTCTTTGTGGTCCCTGCTCCTTCAAACACCTGCCCATTGACCTCCACGGACATTGTGAACACCGGGGCATGCACAGGGCCAGTCTGAGACACAAACTGGAATGTCAGTCCAGGTTTCAGTTCGTTTAGCTGCATCAGGGCATTTTTGGGCGTGGGAGGCCCATGCATTTTCCGTTTCTTTGCCTTCAGCGTGTGTCCATTTGCCCCATGTGTGGGGAACGCCCTCTTCTTACCCAACATCTCGTCGTCGCCGTCTGCGTCTGGCTCAGCCGCCTCCTCCCCACTTTCTTCTTCTTCCTCTGCTGCTGCAACCTCTTCCTCCTTGATGTCTTCCTCCTGTAGCCCACCCACCTCCTGAGCTTTCCTCTTCTTGGCCTTCTTCTCTACAGCATCTGCAACAGAAATTCAACAATCAGACACTTATCTGGCATTACAGTCAGGACATTTGGTGCTGGCATTTGTGTCTAAAGGCTAATTTGTCTAGAGTTTCAAGTCGTAATGTGTAACTCACTCCCATGCCCAAGTAGTCATGTCATGAAATCCTGGTCAACTCAAAGTAATGACACCTCAGACTCACATGGTTTCTGTCGACAAAACAAGGTCACAAAATTTCATTTGGTTTCTAGTTTTCCACAACACAAATTCTGTTTGAAGTTTCATACCAGATTGAGAAAGACAGGCATGACATTTCAACTCTCCTGCAGCAAAATACACTCACACTCACATATTTCTCGATTCACCTGCATTTCTAGCAAATCCAAAAATTATGGACTCATCCTTAAATGATTTCGCTAAAACTAAATCACAGAAACTGCAGATGAGTAAATTCACACCAGGTAAATCAGATTCAGTGTTGGAGAAACTGCTTTGAAAGCAACCTACCCACTGTACAAGACAGTGCCTTGCTGGCCTTTCCTCAACAACAGTGCTGCCAAGTATACATCATCGTGTCAGCTGAACACAAGCAACACAAGACAAATGATCCCCCACCTAAGATTGCAATTAAAGTTGACGTCGACTTACAATAAGGATCAGAACAGGAGACGTGCTAGACCTAATCTTAAAAGAAGTCACAATTGGAATCTCAACTGAAATCCTTTGACGATAAAATGACCATTTTAACAGATAAAGAAATTAAAATGTTTGTTGTCAGCACAGAAGACATTAAGAAATCTTGGAGTACTTAAAGGCTTATCAAGTCTGAAGTAGATAGTTGTCTTGCCCTCATCAAGCTCATGTGGGATGTCTCTCTAAATCTGCTTCTAAGATTCAGATGGTGGGTAGCTTTATGCTGGGCCTAAAAGCTTACAATTTGTTCCTGGATGAAGACCATCATATTTTGGTACTTAAAACACAGAACAAAGCAAATCGTGAATTGTGGGAGAAGAAATCATCCGAGATACAAAATGATACCAAAAAATTAATCAATATGACCTGACACAGATTACATACAGACAAGCGGAGCTGAAGACATTTCAGTCCATTAGTTCAGGAGACTTAAGAGTTTCAATCGTCAGAAGGTTCAAACAGGCTTAAACTCGTTCAAACAAGTTCAAAAAGGCTTGAACAGGTACAGATAAATCAATTTGCACCTGTTACATAATTGAAATTGATCCTCATCAGGAAATGTTACCGACTAAGATACCACTGAATGGAAACTTGAAGATCCAGGCAAATTATTTTCACAAGAATTGTCACACTTCAGTAAATGTTTTTGTTAAAATGAAACATTATACTGACAGCCCTTAAACGCATTTCTCCAATATATGACACTGATGAAACTACGCTGAATGCTTCCCATGATGCACCATTGTCAAGTGGAACTGTAATCCCGGCAATCTGGGCGTCTTGTCTCTCCACTCCCAGGAGTCTCTGTTCTACCTTGTTGCCCACATTAAACAAGCCAGTTAATCTTCCATGGTGAACAACATTGGCTAGCTCAGGTCCACTTTCACTTGCAATTAAGCTCTGGACGTTCAAAGATGTAACCCCAGCTAAAGATGCTATAAACCCTGTCTATTGCTGTAAATGAGTTTAGTTAGTGATGTGTTGGCCAACCCTGCAGTAAAACAGAGGATTATTGTAGTCTTGACTTTGTTGTTCCTGGTAATAGTTTTTAGTAATGTACTGATCAGCCTGATAATAGTTCCCTCGCAACTACTTATGTCTATCTTGATTTTCAAAGCTCCATTTGAATATCGTGCACTACACACTAAATCAAGGTATAATGACTGTGGGGCAAAATAAAGTGTTGTCCTTTAACTTTGTCACGTCAGTTTCTTACCAGAAAAAACTCTCATCTGAAGGAAGACTTCACCAAAATCAATAGTTAATCTAAGAACCATAATTAAAAAAACAGAAAAAAATACATCTTCATTAAATATTCTGCTTCCCCAAAACTGGTGACACCTGATCCTGTCTAACTTGAAGATTTACAGCGAAACAATTATATTGTTTGTTATTTGGAATTACAAACTAAATTATTTTCTTGTATGTGGTTCTGGTCATGGACACAGGGATATCAGTACTACCGGGTGAGGAGAAATGGGGTTTAACATTGTGCTGTTCAAGATAAATGCAGGTATAGAGCAATGTGCATGCATGTATGTGTGTGGCTGCTTGTACTAGTCCGGACTAATAACAGTAATAGTGACAGCTCACTGAGATACCATACCACAGTTTAACATGAATACCCACTCAGAAACTGTATACTGACTCCTAGCTGACCAGTCCTTGTTTTAGCGCCTTAATGCTGAGTGCAAGGCAGGGTAAAAACAAGTACCATTTTTTTAACATGTATTGGTATGATATTGTTGGGGATTGAGCTATGATCTCCTGCTCTCCGGACAGATGCTCTATCAACTAGACCACAGAGGCGAGATAAAAACTCAACCTAGATGTGACCCCACCTTCCTATCATTTCAATTTAATGATGGATTTGTTGCCATTTTACACAGATTAAAAAACATCGGTATCTTTTTTAACCAAAATTCCACTAAAAAATAATCAATTTGTTATGTATGACCTATAAACACCTCAACTTGAAAACGTGCAGACTCCTTTAAATAAAAAACACCTAAATGATGGATCGGTTCTTCCAAAAGAACACATACCTTTAATACAGATAGCAAGATAATGATCACCAAAAAAAGTCCTCACAAAAAGTCAATTACCTCGTTAAAATGAACTTCCAAGAGTCTCATGGAATTAGATAAATTGGTCCCAATTTCTGTTTTTTGTAATTACATTTGCAGCTGAGTTGAGTGGATTGAGCATGAGGGTTAAAGACGAGTCACACACAAAGCTATTGATGAACTTCGACTCTTGTATGCTTTTCTGCAAAGGTCAAGAATCATTACTGTGATTCAGTTGATTAACGCCACAACCTGAAGATGCCGGATAATCACGGAACATTTAGACAGTCATTATTGTGATTTGATCTACTTCAAGTATATTTCTTCCACCACTGCTTTTTTTGCAAGATTTCAGTCCCTTCATTATTATCATCAGAAGACGATCCTAGCTTTGCAAATACAATGATCGACGATCTATATATAAGGTTTGGAGATATCAAAGGGTATATGTCTGTCTGCAGGTTGAACAACCCCTGGTGTTCGTATGTCCTGTTGTACAACATATATATTGGTTGGTAGGTTGTTGGTTTACGCCGAACCCAGCAATATTCCAGCTGTATGATGGCGGTCTGTAAATAATCAAATCTGGACGAGACAATCCAGTGATTGATGCCATGAGCATCGATCCACGCAATTGGGATCAATGACATGCTTCAATCCAGTCAGAGAGCCTGACCACCCGATCTTGTTGGTCGCCTCTTACTACAAGCATAGTCGCTTTTTACGACAAGCCTGGGTTGCTGAAGACCTATTCTACCCAGGATCTTTACAGGTCTTCCGCATTAGACTGGCATCAGACACTCCTTAAGTATATGGCCATAACTCGGCCCCAACTTGTTTCCCTGACATAATGACTGCCAAAAGATATAGCTAACCATTGCTAGGATGTGGTGAAAAAAAAGCCCAGATCTTCAAGGGTCACAACATATATACACATATTCAGTGGTCATTCCAGACCTTAATGCACCATAACCTGCACAACATTCAGAAAACATGACATAGCATGCAACTTCTCTTGTTGCTGTAGAGATTTGCCTTACTGTTGTTAATTTGAAACATTGGAGCTTGGTTAATATAATATGTCAGTTGCTAAGTATGTGACAAATGATTGGCTAATAAAAAACCCACACAAGGCTCAATAGGGGGGGGGGGGGGAGGAGGAGGAGGAGAAGAGAAATGGAAACACAATCGAAAACTGACAAAGGAAGAAGACTTTATTGCATTTATTTCCATCGAGACAAAACAGAAACGTTGAAAGGTTCCATGTCACATGTACGATTAATGGTGTTGACAATGTACACAGTTAATTTGATTAACTGAAACCGGACAATGCTGTAACCAGTGAAATCATCTGTATATTCAGATTTCAAGCTTAAGGAATCCTACGTTAGAGTAACGTCCCCTGCATCCCAAAATAATCATCAGGAAAGACTAATTGGGTCGGGACTAACAAGAGTTGAGACATGAGTCTTTCAAGGCGCTGTAAATCCAAGAACTCAATATCTAAGAAAGGATAACAAGAGGATTTGGACAATACTTACACAAAACATTGGCTCATTTCTCCATAGCGATCTCAGTCAAACTTCTTATCCAAATAAAAAATGTATCACCAGAAATATAGAGCACTATCTACGAGAAAATGCTTTGACAAAAAACCTAAGAAAGTCTACCATCTGTAGATTTAACAAAGAAACTCAATGATTCTAAGCATCTGCAAGAAGAAAACAGAGCAGACAAGTTTCTTTAGTAAAATCTTCATCAAAGGAACCACAACTCTCTACACTGGCACAAAGTCAGGTCAGAGTAAAAAGCAAGCACTAAACTTTGTAATCAATCAGAGATTAAAGTGGTGGTATTTCCATCCTGCAGTCTCTCAGACAATTTGGGACCTTAAGCCTGACATTAGTCTCCCAGTCCATGGTAGGCTCAGTTTCCAGAAATAACCGATTCAACTTAAGAGAGACATGATCAAGACGACACAAAATATTTCTCTGTCAATTTGGAAGTATTTGCCATGGACTGAGTATATTGCTGTCAATGTGTGACTACCAGAAGCAAGCAGGTAACAGTCTTTACAATTGCTAACATGGGGTCTGGGTTTCAGCCCTTACAGGGATGGATAATTTCTCCTTCCGTTAACCTCATTTGCTTCCTGAAAAGTCTTGCACATACAGTGGTAATCTAACGCTCAGGAAACTGAGACATGCCTCGTAGTTTCGAGCTGCAACAAATCTAATTTAGTTAGATCACTGGCAAGA